AATAAAAAATTTTAAAAATATTAAAAAATTATTATTCTTAAACAATATATTTTAAAAATAATAGTTATCAAATATATCATGAAAAATACTGCATCACATTTGCCCAAATATTATAATCACGCTAATTAAATCGGCGATTTATAAAGCAAATATTTCAGATGAAAAAATCTTTACAAATAAAATCGCGATTAAGTGAAATCTTTAGGTTTTCAATTAAATATGTATATATATATGTAACGATATAATTCATCGCCTTGCGGCGATACACGACATCATTTTTTCCTCGAAATGTGCGCACTGTGCCGTCGGTAAACAGAGTGTAAGGACTTTGTAAAAATACTATTAAAAGTATTATGCTCCGTTTATCAACAGTACGGTGTGATGGTATCATCTGCTGATCGAATTAAAAGAAAGAACTTTTCGTATTTGATTTTTGCGGCTCCCATATTCCAGCATAATTCAGCCATGTCATTATGAAAGGCATTATGCTAGGAATATGCGGTGTCGTGAATTTGCATGCCAATCTTCATGGTGAAAGTTCAGAAATGTCGCCGAGTTGTATGGCGACAAAATGAAAAAAATTACAAAATATTCTTTAAATATTAATATAGTTAGACGTGAACATTATAGTTTTCCTGCACTATTTATGAAGCCGAAAAAAATACTCTGAAATTGTAATGTATTTGCTAACTTCTGATTAAACGACTACAATTTAGAAGAGTACCTCATTCGTTAAGTATCAATAAACAAAAATACTGTCTGTCGCATCGAAGAATGTACATCGTTCATATAATGTACTCGCATTATTTGCAACGTCAAACAAATCTCCTGATTCACCGAGGTTATCCATTTTTGCGACCTTATTGCATTTATTTCTATATGTTGTCAGTGTATATCGATAGCGCAGTAATTTGCGCGAGGAATTCGCTGAGAACGAATCTGCAATTATTTCGCTTTCGTGGTGACAATTCCTTCATGTCACGAACTAATCGCATTTCTCGTGTAGTCATGCAATAGGCAAGAAATCGTTTCAAAATTTAGGTAAGTTCAATTCTTTTTTTAGACACTATATATTGTATAAATCTGAACAAATATAAAACAAACCGAGCATATTTAATAGCATAACGAAAATTTAATTAATTATTAATTATTAATTATTAAATATGTAAAAGTATTAATTATTAATAGTGCAATTAGAAGTATTAGAACATTATACTATATAAATATTTAGCTATAATAATTACAATATTATATATCGAACATACAATTGAGTAATTTATTTTTTCAAAATGTAAAAATCTTACAAAAATTGCTATGTATATGTGATTGCGTTTAAGTTCTTCTTTTACGTTTTGTAACGTTCTGTAATGTTATATTACTATATATTAATGATTAGTTAGTATTAAATTGATAAAATTGTGGAATATACTATTTTCTGTTTATTTAAAATTTACGAAGCTTAAGTTAAATTAAATTATTACAGTCAACTTTAACATATTAGGTGTGGGGAAAAGTTTGTGGCGTTTTTTTAATGCCATCTAATAGGAAAAACGCCATGAATTTTTTCCCATACCTAATATCAACGTTATATAGGATGTTTGATAATTAACGATAAAACTCGCATAGCAGCAGAGTGAATTAAATTGAGTTGAAAAGTCCTCTACTATTTTGCAATTTTCGCAATAGTTAACAAAATTAATTACTAAAAATTGTCGAATATTTGTTTTCAATAATTTTTTACTCAAATACTATCAACTTTAGAAAAAAAGCAAAAAACAGCAAAAGACAAAAATTATTTATTTTCTTCTCACAGAGCTCTAAGAATTTTTTCAGAATTTTTTACTAACTTTTTAGTACTGTATTTTCTAATTGGCAATTAGTTTTACCAACGTGGGAAAATACGGTATTAAAAAAATTCTGAAAAAATTCTCAGAACTTTATGAGAAGAAAATAAACAATTTTTGTCTTTTGCTATTTTTCTGTAAAGTTGATAGTATTTAAGTAAAAAATTATTGAAAACCAATATTCAGCAATTTTTAATGATTAATATCTTGTTAACTATTATGAAAATTGTAAAATGGTAGTGGACTTTTCAACTCAGTTTGTAGTCTATTCTGTCACTATGCGAGAGTTTTTATCAGACACCTTGTATAAATACGATGACGTTTTGATTTGCGTAAGCAGTTATAATCTTCGTTATCATAAATAAATATATCTGTATTGCAACACGTTGCAATCCGTTGCACCGAATTTATATCTATATTAATCTCAGCGGAGAAGCGATATCCGTTGAAACTTGCGAAGAAAATGCGTGTGGCCGTCGTAGGCGCCGGTGTAATAGGAGTATCAAGTGCGTTTGCTGTGAAAAGCGTTTTTCCAAGTTATGATGTGAAGATCTTCGCTGATGCATTCTCACCTGATACCACTGGCGATGGAAGCGCTGGTTTATGGACTCCTTTTCTCCTCGGTGATACACCTGCTGAGGACATAATGTAAGTACGCTCGAAGTACGATTATATCTGCAGATAATGAATCACACTTTATGAATTTCACAGATTTTTCTTGAAGAAAAATATAGCTTGAAGAAAAATATAGCTTGAAGAAAAATATAGACATTGATTTTTCATGTTGAATGCTTTTACATTTTAATTTATCGCAAATATAGGTACAGGCCTATAGATCTGAACCATCTAATATTTCTGATAAATAATAAATTACGATACTTAATTATAATAATTATACTTATAGGTCAATTCTAAGCAGAATCATAAGACTCATAAAATTTGTAAGAACTTATGACTAATATTCTAATTTTATACATATATAAGATGTACAATTATTCATAAATATCTACGATTTCTAGAAATTTTATGATTAGTTTTATGATTAGTATAAATGTGTCCGTAAAAAAAAATTGTTTGTGTAAATGTTATATAAAGATATATAAAGCACTTAAAAATTCTTACAAATCTTATAGGAATATGTTACGAGCCTTACAATTCTGCTTAGAATTTAGGTATTAATTATAATAATTAATTGTATGATATTTTGTTAGTCGTTGGGCTGGTAACACACATCAGTGGTTCGAGCAATTTTGGAAAGCCGGATTATCATCGAAAACGGGTGTTTCTCTACTGCCTGTAACTTATGTTACTAGTGATTATGAGGATTACGTTGAGCCAATATGGGTAAAATTTGTCTATGGCTTCCAAAAACTAAGTAACGAAAGATTACAACGCTTAAGTGAGGAACACAAGTGCAATTACAAGTAAATTAAACCTTTATAAGGTGGCTTAAATATATAAACAATTCAAACCATAACAATTCATACGTTGCAAGATATTCATTCAGATTTTGTATATGTAATAGTCTTTAATTTATTTTAATCTAATTATTTAATTTTAAGATATAACACGGAAAATATATTGTAACTGATTCAATTCAAATAAAGAGCATACAGCCATATCGCAAGATATTATTAGCAAATGTCATTTATTAAAAATTATGAAGTTACAAAAATATATAAATAAATATATAAATATATAAATCTATTTCTTAGATTTATATATTTTTGTAATTTCATAATTTTACATAAATGACATTTGCTAATAATATCTTGCGACATGACTGTATGCTCTTTATTTGAATTGAATCAATTACAAGTACATTTTCCGCGTTATATCTTAAAATTAAATTATTATAAAATTAAATAATTAAATTAAAGATTAATAAAATAAATTAAAGATTATTACATATACAAAATCTGAACGAATCGCTTTTCATTTTAATTACCGCTTATTATTACTGTCTCTTTCGAATATTTGTCAAGATTTGAAGTTAATAATTCTAGACAAGGTATACAATATATAACTTATACTGCTGAACCGGTTCTACTCCTGCCGTGGCTCATGGAAAAGTTTGTTTCTTTGGGCGGAGAAATAGAAAGAAGGAACATTAAAATGTTGCACCAATTAGCAGAAGAAGGGTATGATTTAATAATAAACTGCAGCGGGCTCGGTGCACGAGAACTCGTCGCAGATGAAACGATGACGCCTATTAGAGGTCAGGTGTACAGGGTAATTGATCCTCCAAGCTACATTGCATCTCCGTATTTTTAAGTATATTCAAGTTATCATTAAAGTTACAATAGTAGTGATTCATTTATATATTCCATGTGTGTGAATGTAAAAATATTTTAAAAAGTTATCATTTAAGTTAATCTTTTTCATAAAAAATGAAAGTCGTACGCTGTCTCTCCTTTCTTTGTCAATATGTGTCTGATATATCTTCTTTAAAGTATTACCTTGCTGATGAATTTAAAATTAACTGATTTAGAGATGTTTATTTAAGGTAAAAGCACCTTGGGCAATGCATTGTTTTTTGGCGAACGATGATGCCTCATGCAATTACATTATTCCTAAGTATGTAATATTAATAATGCATATTTATTGACAGTGACGTTTATTCCACGACCTCTATAATATTTGTCTACAGTATCCACAGCGTCGTAATAGGTGGTACTCATCAAGAAGGTGATTTCGATCGTTCCGTACGAGAGAAGGATTCGAAACACATTTATGATGGATGTTGTCGTATAATGCCGTCTCTAAAGGTCCTTAAGATACTCATAAATTTAAGTCCTCTGTTAGCCATGTAGAATTTTGCATTATCTGTTAACAATCTGGATCTTTAAACTTTAGTGCACATTTTCGTATTGTTGTTGTTGAACTATAAAAATCTGACAAATGTATGCTGAAAGCTTTAATAATGAGATTTTACTATTGTAGAAATCGGATTGTATCTTACTCGTTTTTTACAGATTTAAATTCATCAAAATTCACAATAAAAATATCTGTCTTCAAAATTCAACTTAATTAACGGAGAATTAATAAAAGCATATTGTATGAAAACCTGAAAGAGGTTTTTTTTATACTAAAAGCTTCAATAATGAGTTTTTACTATTATAGAAATTGGATTGTGTTTTACTTATTTTTTACTAGGTAACATGCATGTTGCATAAGATGTTTAAAGATATCTTTTAGATATTATGCAACATAAATGTTATCTGAAGTTACATATATTTAAATTCATCTATGAGAAATATTTACGATCAGAATATCAGTGCTTTCAAAGTTTAACTTGGTGGAGGATTAATAAAAGATTAGTCATTTTTCAAAATAATTTACGCTTGTAATTTCTGTCGAAGGGGAGTGAAATAATACGCGCGTGGGTGGGCCTTCGACCAGGGCGACCGCGAGTTCGTCTGGAGTGCGAGAGCCTCAACTTGTCCATGGGAAAAGAGTTCAAGGTAAATTGCCATAAGATAATATATTGTTAACTATATGCCAAGAGTAATATTGAGTTGAACTTTAATACACCATCATTCGAGCGCCTAAACTTTATGATCGTTTCTTATAACTAAGCTAGTTTCATGCTTTATTTTAGATGATACACAATTACGGCCACGGCGGAAGTGGCGTGACGCTGTGCTGGGGGTGCGCCATGGATGTCGTGGAGATGATAAAAAACTTAAAAGTACCTGAATTAAACTCCAAACTGTAACTTCAGGGACAGAATAAACTTTTTATCCTTCATACATTTTTACTGCACTGTTGCAGGGCAACTTTAACCTTGCTCGACTTTTTCTTTTTATATCGCCCGAAGAATTGTGTCGTTAAAAATGTTATTCTCATTTTTTTATTTATCTCCTTTTTATTTCAAATTTAAATTAAATCTAAATTGTTTCTCCAGCGAGAGGGTGTTACCATTAAGAACTTTCGTTTTTCCCGATCCGTCTATTTGACACTTGATCGATATTCGTAATTCTTACTTTAGACCTATTTGTTTCGCATAACAATGGCAAAAAGTCGAGAAATATAATTAAACGTCAAGAAAGCGAATGTAAGCGCGCGAGAGTTCAATCTGTGCGGGGCGCACCAACCTATTTAAAGTTTCGTGTCGTGCAGATCACTTCCGTAACTGTACATACAATTTCTAAATATGGTCGTCAGGCTGTAATTAAAGCACCAAACTAACTACTAAGATACCTTACATGTCGACTATGCCGCAGTAGTCGCGTAAAGGTAGACGTCGGTGACGCGTGTCTCTTCAGTCGCAATACGATCTATATCGGCCATACAGCTTTTCTTTCGCAACAGCATTTGACGTTTTAACGTTCGTCATCAAAATTAAACAAGAAAATCGGTAGGTAATTTCATTTATATAATATTTATTTATTCATTAATATAAATATTTATTCATTAATATAAAAAATATATTTTATAAAAATTTGATACGTTTGACAAATTTGAATCAATTTCGTCCTAAAAAATGTTACATACTCTTTATAGAGAAATGTGCCGTTGTATTTGTAATATTTAGCAGTAATCATATATTATAATAATGATTTATGATGAATAAGAACCGTCTTAATAAAATTTAAAATATTTAAATATAAATTCAAGCATTGCTGCTGTGGGTTTTTTTATGAACGTTTTCTTTAAACATTAATTACATAAAGCTAAAGCTAGAAATTTTGAAAATGACAGTGACTAGTTTCTAAAAAATTATATCAAAAAGAATTTATTTATGATTAAATTTGTTAATCTGGAGCTCGATTGTGTATCTTGAAACAAAATAAAAATTACAAAAGTGAGCAAATTCACTAAATGAAATAAATATCTAGTAAATATTACTAAATGAAATAAAAATTTAGCAAATTTTCTCACTTTTGTCATTTTTTTCACCATGATTTTCATCTTGCTTCAAGATATATAATCGACTTTTTGATTTGATCCGTATCGCTTAACACGATTATCACGTCTACGCGGCAAATGCAAATATGAGAGGGATTAAGTTCAGATTGAGTTTGACGCGTATTGACTGACAGCGTGATTGAAATAATCGAATAATGAAAAGCAGCAGCGGTCATGATCATCGAATACAGCGATTATCCGGTAATATTGCACGATTCTAAAAACAGTAATTCCAGAAACGAGAGCGTAAACGGTCAAAGCATCAAGTCCGCAAAGAAACGACCCTGCAAGTCATTTCAAAATTGTACACAGAAATATATTAATCTCAACAATTCCTCGGACTTATCGCTTGCAAACAACAGAATAAGTGTCGCCAAGCATGATTTCGAGTGGCTTCACTGGAAGATCACCACAAATAAAGGCAATAACACAGGTATTCGTAAATCCGACAAATTAAGAAGGCAATTCAAAATCACATTTAATAACAAATTCATGCGAGATAGGCATAACGAAGAATGTACAAAGAGAAAAACAGAATAAGAAGATCTGTAAAAACTTTAGCTGCTTCAGTGATCTGATCATTGGAAAACTCATTTCTTTAATTTAATCTTAAACAGAAAGGATGATTTTGCTGAAATATTCAAAAATTTAGCTTAATGTGGACACATAATTTTATTGAATTACAAAATAATTATGTAGAATCCTCGAACGAGCTGGTTACTAGAATGTAAAAATTTTTTGAAATACTGTTTCACTCATTTTTTAAACACTCTTACTTAAATTCTATGTAATTATTTTGATTGATGGACTAACAAAATTATTTTTAAATTTATGTCTAATTTAATTTTTAAATACTTCAACAAATTCGTTCTTTCCGTACAACTTTATAAAAATATTCTCTTTTATTCTTTAAAAACACTTTAAATTTTCCACGCTTTTATGTCCTAGTAATTTTTTATAATCATTAATTTTTTATATTCATTAATAAAATTTTCCGAATAGATGCATTATGCAAAGGAAGTGATTCAAAGCGACACAAAGAGGATGTGGAAGAAACGTCAAAGACGACCAGGATTAAAAAAAAGCGGAGGTACTGCAAAGAATATACAATTATTATACATTTCGTTTAAGAGCCGAAATTGACTTTGCAATTTAAACGAAACAGATTTTTAACAATCTGCACGGTGAATTGCAAGTACGACGTGGTTAGACGTATGGCCGTGCGATTCGGAATGAAGGAAGTTACAGAAGACAGCAGTTGGGATCTCTATTGGACCGATCAAAACATCAATGTAGAGCGCATCAAAGACATGAAGAGGTTCCAGAGAGTCAATCATTTCCCTGGGATGACAGAGATATGTAGAAAGGATCTACTCGCTCGTAATCTCAATCGCATGCAGAAGCTATTTCCGAAGGACTATAATTTTTTCCCAAAAACTTGGTGCTTTCCCGCGGAGTAAGATACACATATTTTGATTTAAACTGTTCATTTAGCAAATAATATAGTTCTAATAAAATTTTATTATTAGAATACTATTTTATTGTTAATAATCTCAATCAGCAAAAATTTATTTTCTGTTTCACGTTTAAATTCAGTGCATCAAACTTGAATAACTTAAATAATAATATAATAATATAAAACACAAATTATACAATTTTTATCTCAATACATTAAGTATATAAAACATTATTTTCTATAAAATATTCCTTCGCGAATAAAATTTGCTTAATAATTTTATACACATATTTCACTTTGAGTCTAATTGAAATTTTATACTTAGTATAAATCACACACACACACACACACACACACACACACACACACACACACACACATTTTTTAATAATAATAATAATAATCATAGATGAGATTAAATATCGTATGACAATTCTACGAATCGTTTCATGTGTCAAAATAAAAAATGCGGTCTATCGATTGAAAGTCCTCTTATCTATTTTACAAGCGCGAGGTTCTCGTATGCATGAGTCATTCTGTTTTGCTTCACTGAACAATCGCTCTCGGGTTCCCAGTCGTAAATTCCAAAGGTTTGCCATTACGGTGATAAAGAATAATCAATATTTCCCAAAGTCAAAGTGCGTATAAGCAGATCAAAAGCTCTGGATTTCGACTTCCAGTCACGGTGACGCAATGGCTTACGCCAAGGCGCGGAGATCAAAAACCTTCATCATCAAACCGGATGCCGGCTGCCAAGGTCGTGGCATTTATTTAATAAAACATTTAAAGGACATCAAATCAAGCGATCGCGAACGTTTGATCTGTCAAGTATACATCGCAAGGGTAGGAACTATTAATTTTTCCCGCAAGAAAAAAATCATTGGAAGTTTACCGATTAACTTTTTCTTTTTTATAAATAAGATACAATTTTTAGATAGATATTATTTTTTAGATAAAGATATTATTTTTTACACATTTCTCTTTTCTTTATATTCTCTTAAGATGCTTTAAAATTTATTCAGATTTCTTTCCAACTAATATATGCAATTGTAACAAAAAATTTCATAGTTACAGCACAAAATAAGTATAATGCCTTTTTTCTTATTATATCCTTAGCCCTTCTTAATAGACGGATACAAATTTGATCTACGTATTTACACACTAATCACGTCATGTGATCCTCTCAGAATTTATGTGTATAACGAAGGACTCGTGAGGTAAGACATAAATGTAAAAAGAATACTTAAGAAAATAAATCTTGATGGCATGAAATATAATTCTCTTAAAATATTTTTTTAATATAAATGATTACTTTTTTATATAAATAGTTACTTTTTTACTTTTCAAATTTACAAATATACATATATATGTATATATTTTTTTGATTTATTGGAAAGTGCAAAACACATCACATTTTTAGATTTGCAACCAGCGAATACAAGGAACCGATCGGATACAATATTTCTAATATGTTTATGCATTTGACAAATTATTCTGTTAACAAGCATAGCCAAATGTATATTATTGATGATGAAATTGGTAGCAAAAGGTTCGTATATATTGGCTGTAGAATTGGCGATAAAATACCAATCATACAGCAAATTATTCCTTACAGAAAAATATCGACATTGATTAAGTGGTTTAAAACGAAAAATGTCGATGTAGATGAATTATGGAGTAAAATCGACGAAATTATAATTAAAACTATAATCGTCGCATATCCTGTATTGAAACATAATTACCATGCATGCTTCTCGATGCACAATATGATTTGCGCGTGTTTTGAGCTATTGGGATTCGACATTTTGCTCGACTGGAAGCTCAAGCCTTACCTTCTTGAAGTAAGCTTTTTACAGAGAGATTAAGACATCTAAAAAAAATATTATTAAACAATAAAAATAATAAAGATTCAGAGGCTAATGAGAGTCATGGTTATCTTCATTTTATTTCGAAACAAACCTTTATTATTTAAAATGAATCTTTATTTTTATTGTTTAATATTGAGAGTCCTTATTTATATTTATTTAATTAATTGTGTTTAAATATTATTAAATATATTCTCTATACAATTAGTAAATCTATCAGGTAAATCACTCGCCAAGCTTTCACACAGATGCACAGATAGATAGAGACGTAAAGGAAGGATTGCTGATGGATACCTTCGATATATTAAATTTACAATACGATAAAAAGAAAATAATAGAGGAAGACAGGAAGCGAATTAGAGAGCGCCTTCTTCAAGGTTTAAACGGAAAAGATCTCAGGCAAGTGAAAGAACATAATATAATTTATAGATAATTGATCTTCTCATGCACTAATCTCGTAATTAATTCCAATTAATTGCAAAACTTTATTAAACTTATTAGTAAAAATGGCATCCAATTATAAACATTTTTTACAATCCATACGTGATATAAAAATTAAATCCGAATTTTTTAATTAGTATGTTAAAATATTTATTGAGAGTTTTTCATTTTATAAAATATAATTCATAGAATTTTAAAAATTCGAGTTTTCTATATAATATAACAGAAAATATATTGCAATAAAAGTCTGATAATAAATCGAAACGTTACAATGCGCAGTCAATTAATGACTCGGCTTCGATGAAATCCGATAGAAACGAGAACAATTACATGCAGAGGCAATTTCAGTGGGAGGACGACCACATGGGCAATTTCCGAAGAATTTATCCATGTTTTGATGAGGATAAATATCAGTCTTTCTTCACACAGAATACCTTTTCCATTTTCCAAGACACGGTGACATCAAGAGCGCGCGAAGAAGCATCGAGAATAGAGAAAGAAGAGAATGAGGTAAATTTTTCATCAATTCACAATTTTGTATCCTCAACTTGGCAGATGAATCTTTAAAATAATTCTTCATATTTATTAATGTTACGTTAAAATTATTGTCAATACGAGATGTGTGTGTGTGTGTGTGTGTGCGTGTGCGTGGTGCGTGCGTGTGTGTGCGTGTGTGTGTGTGTGTGTGTGTGTGTGTGTGTGTGTGTGAAGCGAAACGAGATACTTTTTTTAGTTTTTTTTTAGTTTTTATATAAAACATATAAAATAAAACATATAAAGTATAACAAAGCTTTTATCAGAGATTTTTATCAAATTAATATAAAACTTTTTAAAATATAGCGAGCATTGACGTTAATAAAATCGCTCATTGTTCATCCAATAAAATAAACTGCAGCATTAATCCACACACAAGTTTTAGCTTTAATAAATTATTATACTCAAGAATATTATTAAATTCATGTTTTTATAATTATTTTTTAATACCTTAATAAATTACTGTTCTAATCTAAATAAATTCTTAATCTTTTAATCGATTACTTTTCATAATTACTTTACATAATTTTGTCTTATTTAAGCTAAAAGCAAAAGAGGAAGAACGCAAACAAATCGGGAAATGGAGCGAGCAAAAATTAGGCCTTGAAAGTTCAAACGCACCAAAGAAATTGCAAGAGAAAAATAAATCCGTAGGCGTGATAAGGAAAAACGTTAGTATATAAAACAGTTCTATTTAATTAAATTGTCACTTATACAGAGAAATGCTTCATTATATATATATGTATATTTTATATATTTTTTATATATTTTTTATATTTTATTATATATATTTTTTTTTTCGTGAAAATAACTGAGTAAAGATTAGAAAAGAGTAATTATTTCTTAGGAAAAGTACGAAGATTCAGCAGAAGTTATAAATGGAATGTTAAATGAGATAGGACTTTTTTCTCTACCTCCGGAAAAAAGCAAGCACATTATCATCGTCGCTTTTTCGCAGATCAATAAGCAGGATGCGGAGAGATCTACCCTGTACTCTTTTGAGCCTGAAATCATATCGGAATCTGAAGAGAGGAAACGAATAACGGCTCTGGCGCAGAGAGATTTTCTCATCAAGAGCTACGGCTTGTTCGAGCAGATATACATAGCGATGAAGAGAAACGGTATGTTACGACCCGCCGACGAGAAAAAGTACGGTTTGTACGGCAGGCTGGGATTACACGCAAATACGAATCACAGCACATGCTCTTCTTCGCATAAATCTCATCATCATCAAAACGATCACCTGGATACTACGCAAGCAGTCGCGAACCAATGTCCGCATTATTCCCTGAGAGTGAATGAAGTAAGTATATATTTTTATCAATCGAGACATTGTCTTGTCTCAAAAAATCAAATCCAGATATATAAATTAGATTTTACTCGATGAAGTTTTTACATTCAAAGAAAAGTAGATCTCTTCTTTCACTTTTTATATTTAACACAAAAAAAGAGATAATATTTATTAAGTATTTGAGAAATGTATGAAAGAAATATATATAATTTTCTTTTTTAGCACAAATCGATGAATCATCAACGTGAATTTAGAAATTCAAATAAAAGTAAGCAAGACGATAGTTATTATAAGCAACGTTCTGGAAATTATCGCCTCCTAGCAAACACAAAGTTACATGTAACGTACTTATTAATTATTTTTCCACTCAACAATATAACAGTATAATAATATAATACATATTATATTAGTTATAGTGTTAAGTGAAGAAATTACAACTGCAGATACGTTATATATAACTTTGCATTTGTTAGATACGCGTTTAAAATCGTTATCCTTTTCAGGCTCGTGGATAACATGCAACGAGGCGCTCGTTTACGTTCGTCCGAAAATACCACAAAAACTGTGGATGGAAGAAATAAATTCTGATAATCATATTGGACGCATAACAAAAGCACATATTGCTAGAACATTGTCGAATACTGTTCGGCTACACACGCTCGAGAGAAGATCCCATTTGATGAAATCTAAGCTGCATTCACGTTTTTATCTGTCATAACCTGCGTTCGTTTTTACAATTAAATGAATTAAATATAATTATGTAGAAATATAATTATTTATTACAACAATTATTTAGAGTTGATGTTATCACTCAGCACCGAGGATGAACGGACCATCTTCTCTATCTGGAATTTTAAAAAGTAAAGAAATATGCTACCTAATATATATAAAAAGAATTATTTTTTCGAAAGATATAAAAGATACAAAAGCAGAAGAAGATATATAAAAGATTAATATAAAATTGACTAAGAAAATTTAAATAGATATTATGAAGATTTTGCAATATTATGCTATTAATATTCCTAATATTGAGCATAAATGAAGATTAAGATTCGTAATATTGGGAAATACAATTTCACATTATAAATATATTACATATATTCCTATAAAACAATTGCTCAGTCGCGTTAAAAATACTTTTATTAAGTAAATTCATATATCGAGTCAAGAAGAAATAAAAAACAAGCCTTATCCAACATCTAGAAATGCAATGAATTTCAGGACACGTTTCGGTGTATGAGCGGATTCTATTTTAAGGTAGAGAACAGTAATATATAAAAATCAACAATGTATCGACTTGTTATTTAAAGTGCCATATAAATATGTACAATAGATATATAAGTGAACATGTACACGTAAGTCGCATAAGAGTGGGAATTAGGTACGCGCCGGTGCGTATGTAAAATGATCATACACACATACGCAGACGCCAGTCTATAATATGTATAACAATTTTTATTGCTGATATATATTCTGTATTCACATGATAAAAAATAATCTATGAACAATTTGTCGCTTGCTGAGTTTTTGCTCCATTCGTGATATTGCGTCCACGTTGTTTTGTCGCAGCGTCTCATCATCTCGTTTCTTCAGTTTCTCCTCCTACTTTTTTTTTCATCTATTAATCTTATCGTTTTTCATGTCGCGATCGGTAAACCGAGCCTGTCGTGGACGCGTTTCAAGAGTGCTACGACAAATAATAAGAATCCAAAATTCTTTCAAAGTTCAAAATCGAAATAACAATAATCCGCAATTTTATACAAAATAATACTGTGTAAGAGGTATGTGTATGTATTTTCAGTTGTGTGTGTGTGTGTGTGTGTGTGTGTGTGTGTGTGTGTGTGTGTGTGTGTGTACGTACATGTGTATTGTATCTGTTTGTAAAGTAATGTGCCGAATTAGCAACGACAAGGATTGCTCTCTTAAATTTCTAAATCACGACCGAATTTCCTAAATTACAATTCTTTTTTCCTTCGATTATAAAACGTAACGATATTAAATGATAGCAACACTTCGCAGAATCTACGTATGTAGGCGATGTAATGTCGGCACCCTCGACTGTAAACTGCATTGTGTTACGTCATTGTAAGAACAAGAATTAGTGCGAAATACATTCAACATATTACGATCGATGAATCCTTTTTTTCTTAACGTGATATATATTATTTACATAAAACCACTGTGCGACTGCGACAAATATTTGCGCGTCTCTCTCACTTGATTCCCACCATATTAAATCTTAGATATAGAAAGGCTTATGTACATAAAGTCAATAGATATTTATATGATATCCTATATTATACCGCTTATAAAAAGAAAAGACCGTAAATATGTATTATATTCATGCGAAGTATTTCCATCTCCGTTAAAAAAAAAAAATCGTCACATATTTCGGCGTATATACATACTTCCTGAAAATAAAGGTAACTGCATTTGAAGAAAGTTGCAATAAGACAAACAGTTGGACACATATAAAATGCATTTGTTTCGAACAGATTTTTACAAGAGGGGGTTAAGCTATCATCGTAAAATATATCAAATCGTTATCGATAAACGAAGAAAGGAATTATTGCGCGACATGTATCAAAATGAATGCTACGTAACATAAATTTGTAGCAATCATCTTTGATGATAATATTTGTGACTTAAATTACAGCTCAATTATTTTTTTGTACTAGAAAATGATTCATCCGCTACTTCGGCCATTGACAACGTTATTCGTGTAAATCTTCGTAAATCGCTTAATCCCCTGTAGCTTTTAATCTTCGCAATAAAAATAATGTTAACAGCTTTTTGTGTGATTCTTCCCGCGCGAGAAAATAGAAAGAAGATATGTGAAGATGGTATCCTATTCGTTGTAATACTAAAATATGAGCATTATGTAGGATCCTGCGTATGTTACTCACATGTAATATGTGTTAAAAACGATTATATCTAGTAAACAAGCTTAAGGCATGAATTATACGGAGACTTCGAGTAAAAAATAATTTAATTTTAGATTAAGAAATATTGGCCTATAAAATTAATTTCTTCATCTAAAATTAAATTCGTCAATTTCATATTGAGAATAAATTAGTAAATTTATCTAATTAAGGTACCGTAAACACTAATTATTTCAATAATAATTTCCGCACTTCGTCAGACCTCCGTTTAATACAGGCATTAAATGATATATATATATATATATATATATG